TTGGCCTGTAACTTTTAAGCATTTGGTGCTAGGGCTTTCATACTTCACATGTGCATTTCTTGTGACAAGACTTTCCATTGGATACCAACCACTTTGACCTTGACCTACTTTTGAAAAAACTTTAACCTTGACCATAACTTTTGAATGGTTGGTGTTAGGGCTTTCGTACTTCACATATGTAATCCTTGTGACAAGACCTTTATTTGGATACCAGCCACTTTGACCCTGGAGTCTGACCTTCTTTTGAAAAAAATTAACCTTGGACATAACTTTTAAACATTTGGTGCTAGGGCTTTCATACTTTTGAACAGTTGGTGCAAGAGCTTTCAAATTTCATAGGTATATTCCTCGAGAGAAGACCTTTCTTTGGGTACCAACATTTTTTATCTCTTGACCTGGAGTTTGACTTGCATTTGAGAAACTTTAACCTTCGCTATAAGCTGCCATACGGGGCATCAGTGATTCACAAACACATCCTTTTTTTCAATTTATGTACGGAGGTCTTGTCACTAGTGGTACACAAGATCGTGAAATGTGAAAGCCCTAGGACCAGATGTTAAATGTTGTGGCCAAGGTTAAAATTATTTAAAATTAGGTCAAACTCAAAAGTCAAGGACAATACCAAAATTGTTTGTATCCAAAGGAAGGTATCGTCACAAGAAATATACATGTAAAGTATGAAAGCCCTAGCACCAACTGTTCAAAAGTAAAGGTCAAGGTCAAAGTTTTTCAAAAGTAGGTCAAACTCCAGGGTCAAGGTCAAAGATGTTGGTATCCAAGTAAAGTCTTGTCACAAGGAATACACATGTGAATTATGAAAACTGAGCACTAGATCTTCAAAAGTTATGGAGAAGGTTACTTTTTTTTCAAAATAAAAGTAGTTCAACCTTTAAGGTCAAGGTCAAAGTTGTTGGTATCTAAAAGAAGGTTTTGTCACGAGGAATGCATATGTGAAGTATGAAGCCCAAACACCAACTGTTTAAAAGGTATTTCCAAGGTTAAAGTTTTTCAAAATTAAAGTAGGTCAAACTCCAAGGTCAAAAGGTCAAAGTTGTTGGTATCTAAAAGAAGGTCTTAAAGTTATGGCCAAGGTTAAAGTTTTTTCAACAGTAGGCCAAACTCCAAACTCGAGGTAAAAAGATTAAAGATGTTGGTATCCGAAGGAAGGTCTTGTCACAAGAAATATACAAGTGAAGTTTGAAAGCCCAAGCACCAACTGTTTAAAAGTTATGGTCAAGGTTAAAATCGCATAAAATTTTTCAAAAGTGGGTCAAACTCCAAGGTCAAATATGGTGGTACCCAAAGAAAGGTCTTGTCACAAGAAATACACATGTGAAATATGAAAACCATAGCTCCAACAAATTAAAAGTTATGGACAAGGTTAAAGTTTTGTGAACAGACAGACAGGGCAAAAACTATATGCCCCCGAATCTTCGATAACGGTGGCATAAAAATTTCATTTTGTACTGATAGACACCGCATTTTAACTTTAAATATAACTGATTGCCCTTTCACACTTTGTAACTGTTTTGCGTTTTCACAATTGTGACGCTGTACATGTATATGTATGCACGATTCTGTAAAATCATTGAATTAATCAATACTATCTTTTATTATAGGTCAATCACTCCATACATAAAATATGATGAATTATCAAACCTCAACATCATCTTTTAAAAAATCAAAAAAAAAAAAAAATGCTTAGTGTCATGTACGAGGGAAGCAGTGTTCAATAACAATGTTCTGTAAAATTGAAAAAAAATAGAAAGTGGAAAGAAATAGGATTCATATTTAATAATGTCTGCCCGATAGGGTTTTTTAATGGTTTTCCGAAAAAATATTTCAACAGTATATTGAATTACAACACGCCCCAAGCAAAATGAGAAATACTTGTTTACACAACAAAATCAAAATCAAACTAACATTTTTCATTTCATAAAAAAATAATGTTTTTTTTTTTTTTTTTGAAAGCGGCAAAGATATAATTTCATTTGACCGAATCTGCTCGGTGAAACCAAAGGTTCGGCTTTACAAGACAACTAAGTGCTTAATCAATGACAATATTTCAAAAGATGTCTTTTTTCACGACTTTGATATGAATGACATTTAAGCTTTCTTATAATTAACGGTAGTTTGTGAATTTATAAAGTTGTTTTTTTTTTTTGTTTTTTTTACAAAGAGAAAAAAGGGTGCTATTATGTTTCTTATTCATCCGAAGAATTTGAAGAAATGACCGACCGTTTTCCTAATCCGGCCGTAACATCTTTAAAAAATCACACTATGGGCAAAATTGCTTCAAATTTGCATTAAACAAACAATTTTCATGACATCATATAATACAGATATCAATAACCATAGTACATGCAAGAAATGTCCCTTTTATTCTGAATGCCCAAGAAGCTACTTGAAACCAAAAAGTAAAGGATTTTAACGAATGAAATATTCCATATTGAAACACCTCTCAGAATGGGACCAGTAAGTTTTTATTACCTATATTCAAATCATTTCTTTCACATTATATGGATATATGCGAACCAAAATAGTAGTATATATAGTTTTATACTTTGTAAAATTATATGCTTTGAATGAAAATTTTATCGTAAACCATCTGTCATATTGATTTCAATGCACTTTCCATGGGATTCATTTAAGGTACCTGTTAATAAGTTATACCTTAATGTAAATGCAAGACACAAAGTTCGGAAAAAAATAAAAATCAATTATCCAGGCACAGACTACTGATTTTGTATTCAATTACCATTATACGTTTTATCTGATAAAATATATGATAGCAATGTCAATAATTAAATATTGATCTGACTATGAAGTAGTAATTGTCGAAAAAGTACATCGTAGATCCAGGAATCAAATTAAAATTTTTTTTTGGGGGGGGGGGGGGGGGTTAAAGCTTCAGAATGATGGGATCAGAATGAACAATATTTTATATCTTAAAACAAATCAAGCTTTTGTAATTTCTTCGCTGAATTAGTACTAAGAATTCATGCGTTGTCGGACAAGACTTTGAAGCTTACAAAAAACGAAACACAGTCAAGGCACACAAACTATAAAAACGGCATTCTACAAGAGCTGCAACAAACTTGAAACAAAAATTCATGATACAAAAATTCATGATGTAACGAAATAAATAGTTTGTTTTAGTTTGTTTTTTTTCTAGGGGTTGGGGTAGAGGACATTGCGTTCGTAAACGTTTTGCAATCTGTTGTGCGCAAAGATCTAATATAAAAACGTTTCAAAGTTAATGTTTATGTCAATACATGTATTTACAAGTTATTAAATATTCTGTTTACTTTACTAAGCGTCAAAAAGTCAGTGACGTCAAACGTGATCTGTTCGTTTTCCTGCAAAATCAAAAACACGTTGATTACAAGGGCATAATTATGATTTTAAAAAAGTCAATGTCAGTTCATAAGGAGATTTGTGAAACAGTAAACAGAATCATTATTATTTTCAATATAGGGCACAATATCTTTACATCAATACATGTATCTCTAATATAATTTAAAAACATGTTAACCGAACTGCTTAAAGATATACATGTTTAAATGGTGCCCTGTGTCAAGGATAACAACCACCTTGACTAAAAGATTGTTTCACTAGTTTTCGAATAAGAGCAGGCTCACCGGGGCCACCAGAGAGACCCAAAAAACTTTCAAAACCTGCCAAGGAACATTAACTTTTACCGTCGACATTTGGCTGAAATATACTGAGCAAAATAAGTTTAGCAATTGTTTTTCCATAGGTATAATTTTAAAAATATCTATCAAAATTTTTTTATTTTGTTTCTCCTTAAAATCGATATAGAAAAAGGTAACAAAACACACACTTCTTTTGTTAACTAGACGCGCAGAAACCGCGTCGTCCAACGTTGTGACAATTCAACAATACAAAAGGTTACGCTCGAACGCACATGGTCCTGGAAGAATTTTTTACTTGAAAAGCCCTTCGAGCACGCTTATAAAAGAAAACCGGTGAAAAATTTCAAAAACGTCAAATTGGGAAACGTCCAGGACTTTTCAAAAATGAACGTCGAACGACTATAGAGATGCTAACACCGGTTGCTCACAAAGAAATGTCGCTGAACACTTTCTTGTGCATCCGTTCACCATATGTTGACTTTTAAACCGATCCCGGACCACTTGACATGTTAGTAATTGTCGGTGCTCAGAACGTCCACGAAAAAAAACGATTAGGCAAGATCGTTTTACTGTTACAACGTCGAGACGTAACCGTTTCATGACTGCTTCTAAAGTTGCAGACGAATTATGCCGTGCAATTGGACTGAGGATATGTGGACAATGTGTAAAAAACCAGCTAGGTTTAGCAAATCTTCGAGCTCGAAAATCTCTCACAGCAGTACCACTAACTCAACGTCATCGACAGTCCCGCCTCACATGGACAATGCCCACACAACACACAAGCTGTCCTTCATCAGAATTATGTTAAGATCTTTGATTGGCCCGCGAGATCGCCAGGTTTGTCACCCATTGAACATTTGAGACATTCTTGGTCGTCGTTTAAGACAGCAACATAACGTCAACAACGTAGCAGAACTGACCCTTGCCCTGCAGCAGGAGTGGAACCAGATCACCATGCTTGAGATACAGAACCTTATAAGGAGCATGAGACGCCGTTGTGTTGTTGTCATTGCTGCAATTGGAGGCCTTACACAATATTAAAATTGAATCTGACTTTTCAAACCCGTATCTGTGATCAGTTTCATGATAATTCTTACAAAACAGCACACAATTGTCGATAAAATTTACCTTATTTTGTTATGTGATGACAAGCTCATATCACAATTTAATTGTAAGTGCTGTGTCTATTTTTTTCACTTTATTTTATAATAAATATCTTAAATTGCTAAACTTATTTTGCTCAGTATATATTGCCAACTCGGCTTTAAACAATAACAATCAGTCATCTGTAAAACTTTCATAGTTTGGAAGATGCGATATTTACATTTCTTTTTTCTGTTTTAGTGCGTCGTAAAGACTGTATGGACCTCTATGAAAATGGTCAGACTACTTCCGGTGTGTACGAGATTTATCCCTATGGTACCGACTCCCGCCCTGTCAGAGTTTACTGTGATATGGACACAATGGACGGTGGTTGGACGGTATTTATTTGATTAATTAAGCTTTAACTTGGCCAATGGCATGTATATTGGAACCTGTAATTTTGTTGTGCAAGGGTTTGATAGGGGACAAGAAGCAAATACATTCTGTGTCTTCATTTCACTTATCTCACAAATGTTAGTCACGGTAATAATTGAATAAACATATTAATATTTGGAAGGCAATACAAAAACGAGTCAATGGATCCCTAAGATTTAATAGGACGTGGACAGAATATAAGAATGGATTTGGTGAGCCGGAACACGATGTCTGGATAGGTAAATATATAATCGATTACTAATCCTAATATACATGATAAATGATCTTTATTGGACATACAGATTTAATTTAAATACTGTAAAACGTGTTCGGCAATATTCATTTATAGTGTATTATTGCATCTGTAAATACAGATATAACAAGAATAAGAGAGAATGGGAGAAAGAGAAATAAAGAATATTTTACTACAGGGCTCAAACTCGTATTATATACTCTTTAACAATTGACCGAAAAGTCTGCAAATTGAATATTCTAAAGTATGAAAAATGGAGGGCATAGTCCTCTCATGGTCAAAAATGGGACGAAGAAAACGAAGATCTATATATATATAACATATCTAATATTTAGAAATATAAGTAATGTATTGTTGACTAATTTTTTTTTTACAATACCTATTTAATTGAGAACCACGTCGCCAATAATGGCGTCTTTTCAATCTTGATTTTTTTGACAATTCTTGCCTGACTGAGATGCTCGTGAATCGTAATTTAAATTCTAATTCTGTGTAAATAAAGTTCAAAGATTTCTGATATTCAAAAACACCTTTATAGTACAGATCTTTCTTATTTAGTTTTCACATTCAATCAACATATTCCCGACATGTGACGTCATGACTGAATATTTACACTTCCAAATATTTTTCCTTAAAATTCTCTGCAAATTAGAAAAAAAGTTTATGTTCTCGTGAAATACCATGGGATGAGTAAGAATATTTCTATTGTGATAAGATTGACGAAAAAAAATAGTGCAAGCTTTTTTTTCAAAAATGATTGTTGAATGACAAAAATATGTGGCAAATCATCAGAAAAATAATGTAAATATAAGATATGAATTTAATTTTTGAGAATTCATGAGGTACATGAACTACAACGCTTCACGCCTGTATAATTATCATGAAGCGCTAACTCTTATCTTAATCAGCGAACAGTGTCGACACTATGGTTGATATTTTCTTACCTCTTCTTTGAAAAAAAAAAAACAACTTTAAATAAAATCATACTCTGTTTTTAAAGAAATAATAAACAAAAAAAACCCTCCAACTTTAGAAGATAAAAATTTGACATTCCTATAATTTCTTCATTAATAAGGGTCATTATTACCTGCAATTATAAGGATTATTTAAAATACATCACCATGCAGACAATATGATTTTTTATGACCTACATACGAGTACTCTGAAGTTGATATTTAAAGGATGCTGGAGTTCCTCATTGGCAACATCTATACAGTCTTTGAAGACCATGTCTTCCAACAAACCTGTCGGAATTTTGATGGACACTAATCGAGCTTTTTTATCAGCTGACCTGTTTTTATTCCTTTTAAGCAGAGTTAGGCCATCTTAAAAAAAAATTGTTTGTTTGCCTCTTCCGACGAGAAAGAAAAAAAGGCCCGACATAAAGTTTTTATAACCTCTAAAAAAACGTTTTTTTCCCCTTTTCATTTCGGAATTTTCTTATCCGGTCAAAAAGTATTTCAATTTCATTTTGATATATTTTGAAAACTCAGCACTGATGTTAAAATTTTCTTGAAAAAAAAATTCCCGCCTACCTACAGACTCTTTTTTATTACCCTGATTCGGCAAAGGGCAAACAAACAGTATTATAAATATGGCCTTATTCAAAAGCTTCTATATGAGAAGAAGAGAACACTTGCTTTGGCCTTCAACTCGACATTCAGATATATCAACGTTTTATCAATTTAAAATAATTACTTTGATTCATATGTCGATTCGATATATCCAAATAAACTCGAAATTATAGACACCACAGAATCTGTATCAACTGTTTTATCATTGGATGGTTTACTGACTATAGATGATAAGGGCCAACTAACAACTAAATTGTATGACAAAAGAAATAGCTTAAGTTATTTCATCGTCAGCTTTTCTTATTCATGTACAGTTTTGTAATATTCCGCTTTCACCTTCATATGGTATTTACGTCTCCCAACATATTCGATACTAAAGATCATTCTCTGGGAAGAATATCTTCTTAAACCTACACAGGCCACTGAAATATAAGTTGGTGTTACAGGGATTTCAACAACCGCTTTCAAAGTTAGCATTTTGTAAATTCTATGGTCGTTATAATGACCTTGATAGAAAATATAATCTATCATTGTGTCGCATATTGACTGACGTATTTCATACCATCATTGTTATACCTTTGTTTTTTTACACTAAAGGATGACTGCACTTAACGCCTGTTTTGGGGTCTTTTCCGGTTGCTTCTGTTGCTTTTATATCTAAACCTTATCTCACTTTTGTATGTTTATGAAAGAATACTGTCAATTTGGAACCACATTTAAATCTTAAAATGATTTTAGACTGTGATACATTAAAATAATTCAATGTTTTTTGTCCTTACTGCTTTCCAAATATTGTGAATTACACCTACCTGCCCTTGATTGAACATTAGATATGCATGATAGGTAGAGCTAACATTGTAAGAATGGGTCTAAAATTAGACTTGATGAATAACAATGACTTGTTTGGAAAAGCGAATGTGATCACTCTTTCCACTCTCCATTCTGTATGGCACAAACACACTTCTGACAAAGGTTTCAAAACGAATTAACAATTATACGACCACGTCAATGTAATTAAAGCAGATTTTATATCAACGCCAGATGACTTAACGTGTTCGAACACAATCATGACAATGTCCTAGGTATGTCCTAGGTAGCACAAAACATGCTGCCTTAAAAGTCACGTGACGGAATTTAGTATTCACAAAATTACCTGAGGTAAGAAATCACGTGGTGAATTATAATATTCAACATGTCACAATCCTTGGTTACAACACAGAGAGCGAATGTAAGAAGAAGCAGTTTTTTTCTCCTTTTAACCATGAGCGCATGTTTGTCTATTAAGCTCCTTTTGACACATTATTATTAATGCAAATATACAACTACTGTTAAACGTAGAACAATAGACAAACATGCGCTGACCATGTATAAAGTCAGTAAAAAAGTGGGCGTCCTCATTATCGAACGGAGATTCAAGAAATTGTGATGACCCCTGCCTTTGAAAACAGATTCGAACTTCGTAAATACACACTTTTATTAAATGTTATTACATAAAGTTGTATATTGGATGTTGACCATTCTTGCAATGAAAAGAAAAATTCGTGTTTTGAGTTTATTTTGTCGCAAATTCCTCATGTCCTTAAGTGCAGTCCTCCTTTGACTACGGGGTGTTGTGTCTTCTTAATCAATACAAAGGGTGCACAGTGGGTGCGAACGGTCAACTGTGGTTGTTTACTCAAACCAGACACCTGATCCCCACTTGTGGAATTTCCGGGGGTTCCGTGTTTTATGTCCTCTTCACAGATTTGTATTGATTTGTGGATTTTTTGAGATTGATAACTGTTCATCATCTTCACCTTTTTCATTGAAGAAACTTGGGCATTTTTACTCTCTGTCTGCATTGTTTATTTACTCCATCTGACATAACAGGCTATAGTGTAATTTTTACAACACTCTTCGTGAAGGGAAGGAACTTCTGATATTCTTTCACACTGTGACAAAATATTACTATAATTTACAAAATCAATAATAATATTTCTCTGTTAAATATGTAATAAACTGAAAGTTTTTTGTCTGAAATTACGAGATATTTACCCTCACGAGATACGGCGTTAGTCTTAGCTTGGCGATCTACTGTCTGTAGTTTTAGGTTCCCATTTCGACCTCTGGTATGGTTCTGGACAGCTTTACATATTTGTGTTTGATGTCATTACCGTGCTCTGAGTGCCAGATGAGAAAAGTGTCTGAATGTTATTTAGAATGGTGTCGTTAAATGTACGTGTAGCCATTAAGGTGAAGATATGATCCTCAGACAGGTACATTCACTGTTGGACAGATTATATACTTGGAAGAGTAAGATTTTTAGAACTCTAGGGCCTGGGTCATTTGATCTTAGTCTGCTTCCCTTCCCAAACTACATGTATTTGATTGCTGAAGCAGTGCACCGGCAAAACAACTCCTGATGGAATATCCGGAAATGTTTCTTCTAGACTGAACTTAATTAAGACAGATACAGGGTGTTTTAACAAATATTTCCCCACTTTGCAAAATCGCAAAATATGTCAATATCAATAACTGCATCTTAAAGAAATGTTTACGGCAATTTTTTTTTTTTTTTGTAAAATGAATAAAAGATACCTTGACTTCATAATTACATATTTAAAACTTTGATGACATCATCAAAAGTAAGGTATTTTAAAAATTGATGATAAAAGAGATCTCTACATTGGTTATTGTAAAACTGTATTGCGCAAATGGAAAAAAAAATTTCCCTTAGCTTATGAGAAGAGGCATAGAAATTACCAAAGTATGGTTTCAGCAGGATGGAGCAACTCCTCAAGCTGCAAATATTATGCTTTAATGGCTGTCTTGGAGGTTTGAAAAAAAGTTCATATCCCTACATTCAAACATTAAGTGGCCACCACATTCACCTGATCTTAAACCTTCAGATTATTTTATATGGGATTCTTTAAAGGATCATGTTAATTCACAACCCCCACAAGACATAGATTGCTCAGAAAATGGCTATAAGAAGAAAAATTAGAAACATACTCAAGTATCCTTTGACTCGTGCAGAAATGTTATCAGTAACTTCAGAGACAGAATGAAGCTAGTGATTGAAAAACACGGCGGACATCTGGATTATGTTATACAATAATGTAAAAGAAAAATCTGCTTCTGGTGACCATGTCATAAAAAGGTCCGTCTTGAAAATAAATGATCCATCTTTATTTTAACTCCTATATTGATTAAATTGTATGACTTTTTTCTGTAGTGTTTTGTAAACTTTCCTTTTATAAATGCCGTATTACTTTTTTCTTGAAAACGCAAAATCGGGACATGTTTGCTGTAACCCCTTGTAGAAGGGGGGTATGTTTTAAAAGACCGAGTTTTTTATTGTTCTATTTTGACACAGATTATATCATTATAGATAATTTAAATTCATACAATATATTTCGTTCCGTCCAACAAGTTAGTGGAAATATCTTAAGAATATAATTTGATTCTACCATAAGGTATATTTATTCGAAATTTAAAAAAAAAATACATTGCAGTTCACTTATCCATTGATTATTTATGTATCTTTATATAGGAAATGACGTAATCCATCAATTAACAAAGGAAGGAGCCTCATCACTTTATATATCCATCACGCTAGTGAATGGTAGCAGGCTGTATGAATTTTACGATCAATTCTCCATTTCTAGTGAAGCAGACAAGTATCAACTCTTTCTGGCTGGACCTGCAACAGGACCCTTGGGTACGTGACGGGGAAACTGTTACATAGAGAGAGAGAGAGAGAGAGAGAGAGAGAGAGAGAAAGAGAGATGTCAAATGTATCATATTAAAGATAAAATCTTAGGTATACAGGTAGATAGAACAACAAATGAGACAGAGAGATTATAGGGGGTTGGGCAATTATGTTACAGATAAAAAACAAATCTTAATTTAAACTTTAACATATAAATTGGACTATAGGTTTAAATATTTTTAATATAACATGTATGCCATTGCATGAACTCTTTCTGGCAGGCGTTGAAGAGGAAACTTTCGGTACTTGTTAGGAAAAAATGTTAAATAGAGTAATAATGATGAATTTGTCAGATTAAAAGGTAGAGGATTTGGATTGTGCCAAATTGTAGCATTCAGAAATAAATTATAATTTAAAAATTGAATAAAAAATTGGATTTTAGGTTAAAATAATTTTTTTTTTATGATTTTCCCTTTATATTCCTATCTTTAATTTTTGGTCAACAATTTTGGTCCAACCCTACCCCAAGGGGTCATGATTTGAACATATCTAAATCTACAATACCTGAGGATGCATCTAAATTGATATGACTTCTTGGAAAGAAGAATTTTTAAGATTCATTAAATTCATATATATTCCTAATTAAAACTTTGATTTCCCATTGTGGCCCCATCCTGACCCCTGGGGTCTTGATTTGAAGTAACATTAATCTACAATACCTGAGGATGCTTCCATATTAATATGGCTCAGCAATAATTTGCCATTATTCAAAAGAAGAATTTTAAAGACTTTATCCTATAAATTCCTATGTAAAACTTTGATCTCCCAAGTGGCTCAACCTAACCCCCGGGGGTCATGATTTAAAAAAACTTGAATATACTCTTCCTGAGGAAGATTCAATATAAATTTGACTTAACATGGCTTTGTTGTTTTTGAGAAGATTTTCTCAGATTTTTTTCGATGTATTCCTATGTAAAACTTTGATCCCCCATTGTGGCCCCTTACGTCCGGGGGTCTTGATTTGGACAAACTTGAATCAACTCTATGTAAAGAAGGTCTCACATCAGTTTATACTTTGGCCGAGTGTGTCTTAAGAAGAATATTTTACAAAGATACGACCAAATTTTCACTTTTTCTCTATCCCCCCCTCCCCCTTGAAGAGGACGAGGTCCTTCATTTAAAAAAAAATAGACCCCCTTTACCCAACGATACTCTGTGCCAAGCTTGAAATTGGCCCAGTGGTTCTTGAGAAGATGAAAATGTGAAAAATTTACAACGAGGACTAATACGACAGAAAACGGACAAATTTCCGTTAAAAAAGGTCATCTGAGCTTTTGGCTCAGGTGAGGTAACAGCAGTCCTGATTTTTTTTTTTTTTTTTGGTAATTAACAGAGCTGTGATGAACAAGTTAATTATCACATATACCAATAAATCGGAAACACATCCCATATGTTGTGTGTCGGCTGAATTGGCTGACAGTGAAATTTATGTATCAATAAACAGTCTTTTAGGGTCTTTATGGCGTAAAGCCAATAATCTTTCAGACTCCCTTAATATTTATATTCAAGGCAGTTGATTAAGCTTCGGTTCTGCTTCATTCCTGTTCGTTCCATCGAAACCTTTAAAAACCTATGGTGACCATCTGTTATACACACGCGTTCATCGACTTAATGTGACCTTCTTTCTTGGTGTACAACGACCGTCTGTTGTACATCGACTTGTGGTACAATTTAACTACCTGTTGTATAACTACTTAAGCTGACTACATGTATGTTGTAGAAGACCATCTTTTGGTGTTCAATGACTTTCAAGGACGGCCTGCTTTTGTACAGCGACTTAGGGTGACGATCTGTTCGTTGTACAACGAATTATGGTGACCATTATTTGGTCTACAATAACTCAGAAGGACTGTCTGTTTCTTGTACAACGACTTAGGGTGTCTTTCTGTAGTAAAAAAATATGATGACCATCTTTTTGTGTAGAATGACTTACAAGGACTGTCTGTTTGTTGTACAACGACTTCAGGTGTCTATTTCTGTGTTGCTTTAGAAATCACTTCTATGCACCAAATAATACCTGTTTTTACACGCCTTTCCTATAGATATGAAAATTAAAATGTTTAATGGGAATTTGTGGGTACTTTAGAGTATTTCTTTTTTTACATTGTATTCGAGTATATTGTGAATATTAAATAATCCAATTTGATAATGTTTTAATGCATATATTTCATCCAGGCATTCAAAGTTTATAACCTCTTTAGTGACTGTTCCTTTTTTTTTTAGCTTTTACATTCTCATCATATTTTAAAATTGCAAATTGCCTTCAGGTAATTTCTAAATTAGTCATGCCCTAACAAAACTTTACTATCGATTACTATAGTTTGCAATAAGTAACTTAAGTAAATAATATGATACTTTGATTAACTATGGAACTTTACTGTAGAACCTTTTTTGAGATTTAAATGCTTAAAATAAAATCTCTTAAATCCCATAAGAGGGTACAATTTGGATATAATACGTGAATATACAGGTAATGGTTCCATTTAACAGAAAATATTTTCATGCATGAATTGGAAAACATAAAATATAAAAATCTAGAATTATAGTAAAAATGCTTTAATTTACTATAGTAAAAGCATATATACTATAGTAAACTATAGTTTACTATAGTATTTTTCTGATACATTGTGTAGGGTGGCATCATACATCTATGCATCTTTTACGATATCAATATACTGTGTCTATAAACAGGATGCAGTATTGTTTACACTCAGATGACCAGGATTTACACTGGATGAATAACTGAATGAAATAAACAAGAAGAATATAATGATCTGAATCAGATAGATGTTTTTTTTTTCTTTTATTTTATAGGTGACAGTATGTTGAACACTAGTTATTCTAGGGCGGATTTGTCAGGGATGTACTTCTCTACCTCAGACAAAGATAATGATAGATGGAGTGGTAACTGTGCTGTAAAGCACGGAGGAGGGGGAGGATGGTGGTTTAACGCCTGTAGCTACGCCTTCCTCAATCGTCCCTGGTCTTGGTATGAGTGGCGGAGTCCCTGGTTTCCTAAAGTTACGTCTGGGACATCTGTGAATGAAACCATGATGATGATCAGACGTCACTAGGTACAGCATTCGTTCTTAATATATTTTTTTTAATATAATTTCATGAACATTTTAAACAAACATAATTTTTAAAATATCTTCTGTTTTTGGTGGTACTGATATTAGCTCTATGAGGCATCGATATAAGATTTTTTTTCTTTTGTTAATTTGAATTTTCTTACACTCACAGATGATCATATAAAAAAAGAACTTCAGAAACCAAATAAATAACGCTGATGGAAGTATTCCCATGAAAGAGACACTTTCCACTTGTGGCGAAAGAAACGCGTTTCTTCTGTGATAACCTTTTCAGTCTATTTTTTTTCTAGATTTAACGAAATGTTCTATATTAAAATATTTCTGCATTGTAAATAAAATAGAAACTAAAAGTATTTTGTTCTTTTTTACAAATATTGCCACATGAAAGGAAGATTAAGACAAGGCATATTTAGATAAAATTTTATGAATTCCCAAATGGTTGTAAAACTTTTTTTTACGATATGGGAATTTTCGATTCGGGGGGGAGGGGGGAGGGGGGGGGGTGTTATTCTTGGTATACATGTATGTTGTAAAAGTACTTTTTATTCTTCCATTGTCTGTAGCTCTCTGCATTGCACAATGAAAATTAAAATGACAAAGTCTTTCAATCAAGGTTTATTTATGATCATGACATCTATCGGCTCAGTCACCAAGCCATCACACATTCTGGCCTTTAGTTCTTTCACTTTTCTTCTTCAAAGGTTCTAATTTAATTGCTTATTATTGATAATCTTATTAGAACTGTGCATTTCTGTGTAAGTTTTATTTCTTAATATCGAAAGGTATGTTTGGTCTATTCTTCTCATATTCAAAACAAAAAAGGGGTTAAATGAATGTGAAAATCGATTTTAAAAAATACATTGTTTGTCAGTTTTTATACCCCACCATGGCACATGCAGTATTTGTTCTTTGTTTTTTTCTGCATACGGCCTCCTTGCCGACCGTCACATTTTTTTTTGCGTTTACCCCAGTCTTAAGGTATTTCCACCCTCACAATTTTATGGGTTCAAAGTAGGAAAAGTGCATTTATTTTAAATAAAAAGTGTTGAAATTAATCAAAAATCACAAAAAATGTATAGATTGCCATATTTTTTTTTAAGATGACAGCCATAAAAAAAATCAAAAGTAAATGACAGCATAAAAAACGTATATTTTAAGTCAACAATATTATTAAAAGTATGAAAAAACTTGTTCAGATACATAATTCTGATGCTGAAATCTCCAAAATGATTGTTTCTTTATAAATATGTTTGAGTTGTGAATATCAGTAAATCCATTTTAAATTAGCAGTACAGCAAAGAAAATGCCTGAATGAATATACATGAGAAGAGTTATTGCCCTTAGAACCACATTTTCAAAGATTAAGGACAGATGAGTAAATGAACAAGTTTAACCGCACCGTTTTTAATTTTTCATTGAATGTTTCAGAATAATGGGATTTGAAGTGACAAAAAATTGTATAGATTATTAATGGTTGCAGAAATGTAGAATTTTCAACATCATAGAAGGTTTACAATTTCTTCGTATTTTAGAAATTTATTATTTGCATCATTTACAAAAAAAAAAAAAAAAAAAAAAAAAAAAAAAAAAAAAAGAAAAATATATACCAATCCAGGCATCCATTTTTTTGTTTGTATCATCTGTCCTTAAATAGTTGATTAAATAAAGAAATTTTTTTTTTTAAATTTTTTCTTAACAATAATTTTCATTACACATATTGAAAAGCATTCTTCCAAAAGATATATTTCTATTGGGTATATGAGTTTAGATTAATAACATATTTTGCAAAAATCTACGACATCACAGGAGGGTGGAAATACCTTAAAGATACTGTTCGCTATGTTTTTTTTTTTTACTAAAATCCATTCATTGCCGAGAGCTATCTAATAGTGTCATATTTTGGATGTTAAAATTCCCTATATCCCCTCCCCCCGAAAATGTTCTAATATTTTATCAAGCTTCATATCCTGATAAAAACTAGTGAGAACAATTCAACCGTGTCCATATCCTTCTATAAGACATTACACTTCGCTTTTGAAGATTAACCAAACGTTGTATTAGATACACATTGGTAAGAGTAATTAGGGCCCCGCTCTGCGGGTGCCCTATAGTGATCAGTCTCTCCGTCCGTCCTTCCGTCCGTCTGAGATCTCTTGTCCGGAGCATGTCTTCTCTATCCTTGGCCCAATCTGGCTCATACTTCACCCACAGAGTGTCTTTGGGTAAAGGATGTGCAGTGACCTTGAACCATGTTTCTAGATCTAAGGTTAAGGTCATAGCAGAATTATATGAAAAATCCTTGTCCGGAGCATATTTTCTCTCCTCTTGGTCCAATGAGGCTCAAACTTCATCTAGAGAGTGCCATTTGTCAATGGATGTGCAGTGACCTTGAACGAAGTGTCTAGGTTAAGGGTCAAGGTCAAAAATAGCCTCTCTGTTTAAATTCTTGTTCGGAGCATATTTTCTCTCTTCTTGGCCCAATCTAGCTCATACCTCGCCCACAGAGTGCCTTTGGGTAAAGGGAGTTCAGTGATCTTAAACCATGTTTCTAGGTCTAAGATTAAGGTCATAGCAGTATTATATGAAAAATCCTTGTCCGGAGCATATCTTCTCTCCTCTTGGTCCAATGTGGCTCATACTTCACTCACAGAGTGCTACTGGTCAATGGATATGCAGTGACCTTGAACGAAGTTTCTAGTCAAGGATCAAGGTTAGAAATAGCCTCTCTGTTTAAAATCTTTGTTCGGTGCATAATTTCTCTCTCTTAAGTCCAGTCAGCCTTAAATTTTAACTATTGACTTAGGGTACTGAACATTTGTGATTTTCCTCCCATATTTTGATAGAGGATATGCAACAATTTTCATAGAGGATATGCAACATTCGTGATTTTTGTGCCCTTTTTTGATAGAGGGTATGGAACACTCGTGATTTCCGTGCTATTTTTTACTATAACAAGGATGACATAGAAGCCCTTTAGACTCAAACAACCCATCCCTTAATAGTACACAAATGTTCCTCTTCAAAATAACCCTTTTCAGCTACATTACATTTTCATGTTCGTTGCTGAAAGCGGGGCCCGTTGAGATGGCACCATCTCAATGATATCTAGTTCAACTCTGTCTTCCTTTCTGACCTGACCTTCAATATGATGTTGAAATAAAATTTTATTTCAAAAAGAGGGGGTGGGGTGGTCTACAGTCAATCATGAAGAGACACAAAACAAATCCAGAAAAGGAGTGATTATTCAGGTTTTGTTCAAGTCCTGCCTACATAACTGAAGTTTAGATCACAACTTTGAGACAGGAATAAATTGTAAAATATTTAAATATCTTTTTTTTTTTGAATTGAAGGACTACAATATATATTGATATATTTTTTTTAAATTACTGGGCTTATTGTGTAAAGGAGGGGCCACAATGGTACATGTATACGTATTGGAAAAATATTTTAAAAATATTTTATAGAACAGCAGGGAACAATATGGTCACACAAAATTAAAATTCTATATTTTTTCCCATTTCAGAGTTTTAAGTCTTTGTCCCAAGGGCTATTGTATGGCCACAATACGTAATTATTTATAAACAATCCTATTCTTCTTTTCCTTTTACAAAAAAAAATCATAAAAGTCATTTGAAGGTCAGACGAATCACAATGTCGCGTAGATTGAATTTTCGCTTTGCAAAATAGTTTATTTATATTGATTTTGCCACAATTCCTGGGAATGAAAATGGTTAAATAGCTTACAAATCTTATGAGCTGCTGGTCTAAGATGATTGAAGTGAGTGTATTTTAGCAAATGAATTTCCTGTTAAATTACTTGATCCGTGATCGACAGGTCGTGTGTTCGAATCACGATCGCAACTGTCCTAAGTCGATAAAAAATAGGTAGCGACTGTTCCTTCGCCAAGCGCTCGGCACTTTGAAGTGAAAGTCGCAGGTCCTTCGGATGAGACCTTAAAAACCGAGGCCCCGTGTCACGGTTGGCGTTGGCACTATATGCTCAACGGCCCTGAGTACCGAGTAAAGGTCTAAATTTGAAGCCCTTCACCGGTATATGGCGACGTCTTTACATGAGTGTAACATTCTCGAACGGGACGTTAAACAACATGCAATCATTCCTGTTAAATTTGATTGAGTTTAATTAAACCCTTCAGCAAATTAAAATTTCATGTCCCCTTGGACCAAGATCCAGGGTGAGATCAAGTTTCGTAATATCTTGAGTTACAGTTGTTTAATGTCAGCTTAGAACAGCAGTCACAGTTGATATATTTTGTTTGCCTTCATCCTGAAATGTCAATGATTTACTGTACCTTTTTTTCTTCACCTACTTTTTCTCGGATTCAATTTGCATTGTCTTCAAACATTTTCCCTGGAGAAATATATATTACAGGTACATGTACCCTACGTTGAGAAAAAATTAGATAAACTCAACATATACGAGAGTTGTTATCTAGAATCGTGGACAACGCGTTTTTATTGATAAATAATTTGCGGAAAAGGCTGAAATTTTCAGAAAATGTTTATTTACTATATTTGAATATATGTTTAGAAGTTCAGTAAGTATAGAATTATTAAATTTGATTGTGCATAGGGTATGGTCTTATGTCGCATGATCAAAAAGTTAGGGTTACATCAGAGAATTTTATATCTAATAAATAAAAGTATTATTTAAGAGCCATTCTCTGTAATGACTTGAACTTTTATATAGGAGCTGTGGCAGGCATATTCTCAGAATTTCTCCAAACTCTATATGATAAAAGTCTTCGATACAGTAATCTCCAATCAGGCAAAAATTGATTGCTACGTGTCATGGTAACCATAGCAACATGTCCTAAAGTTTGAAAAATGGCATTTTTCAACATGTTCAGAGTCCCACAGTTAACGTTTGCAGCAAAGCAAACAAGTGGCAATGACTGTTTCTGAAAGTTGAAGGCCTGGTATCTTAAATGCATGATAAACATGTTTGGCAAATCAACTACAAC